TCCCATCAAATATCTATCGTCTGCATTGCTCCTCCTCATTTTTATTTATTTTTTTGGGGATGGTGTACGTTACTCTCTTTTAACACCTCTATACATTAATATTATAATCTAAGATATATGACCTAATTGTATTGCAAGTGCCCCGAAACTCTTACTAAAACTAAACTAATATTCGGCACTTACATGAACTTAGGTGCTACAAATGATGCAAAACCTCTATCAAACTAAACTAAGGCCAGACGAGCAGTCGAACGAGAGCGTAGACATCCTAACGGTTTGACGAGAATGGAAGGTGCCAGTGCCAGCCAAGTGTGTGAATCTGTGGCCCCATGTCCGAGCGCTGGGCGAAGAGCTGACGTGATGGGCTGAGAGGTAGACAAACACAGACACAGACATAAGCAGGGACCGGCAGAACCTTCTAGATCATCATCATCATCGCCATTATTATTGTTGTTGTATTGTACAAATTACTAGTACACTGGCCAGAGCTGGCCGAATGTTCAAAGTGGTACACCAGGGAGGAGTGGGGTGGGGTGGACGCTTGGCAGATCAAACAGGTCCGGTCTACACCGGGGGGAATGTCTGAGATAACAAGATTAGAGGAGGAGGAAGAAGAGGGGGAGGTGGAAGAAGAGGGGGAGGTGGAAGATAGAGGTGAAGTAACAGCGGAAGAAGGTGGACCATTGGCAAGTGGGGAACAAAAAACAAAACAAACAAAAACAAACAGAAAAAAAGCAAATGCAGAATAGGTAGGATGGAAGACAGACATAAACATTTAAATAACAAGAAAGGAAGAAGGACAAGCAAGGAAGATTAGAAACAAAGAAAACAAGGAAGACAGAAAAGTGGTACAAAAGGAAAGAAAATACGTTTCACGGTTTGTATACCTGAAAGAAAGGATGGCAGAAAGAAAAATATATGTAAAAAAAGGAAAGAAAATAGAAACTGAAGATGGAAATATAGAAAGAATGAAAAGAGACGGATTGAAAGGGAAAGCAAAATGGGAATGCATAACTACGAAGACACACATGCATAATATTTACAGGTAAGGGATGGTCACGTAATTATCTAAGGCAAGCAAACACACGGGAAGGTACAGAGACGGGAGTACAAAAAGGCCAATGGACAGACAAACAGACTCACCATCAAGCGAAGCGAAAGACGCACAAACGCTTACACATATTTACATGCATGCACACACACACACACACACACACACACACATACACACACAAACACACACACACACACACACACACACACTCGCTCACTCTCACACAGACATTGTCATGAGCATGCACACACATCATCATCATCATCCCGAACAACTTCAGCCCCCTCCCCCCTCCCACCCCCGCGTGTACAGATAGGATAGAAAAAGGACGCTGTAATTTGCAATTGTAAGAATTCTAATAAGTACTATCTGTGTCAGTTTGATGTTAAAAAAACCACAAAAAACAAACAAACCCAGAGACACTACACCGGCTTCTGTGATGTAGCGGTTAGGCGCTTCGCCGTCGCCCTTAGTAGACCCGAGTTCGATTCTCGAGTGTAGTGGAGATAATTTTTATCTTTCTGTTGGGATGTTGTACCCCTCTCAGTTCGGGTTGACCCTGTCAGACAAGCTCAGTGGCCGCCTCTTAAATAATCTAAACTGCGCTGATTGGGGCTCAAAGACGCCTACATGTAAAAAAAAATATAAATTTAAGTCATCGGAGCTTTAAAAAAATAATAGTAAAATAAATATTCAACTGTGAGGCGGGAACTGCAAACTATGCAAAATGCGTCTCTTCTCCTAAGGCTGACTCCCTTACATGTATAAGTATACCCTCTTGGGGAGTGGTTAGCTCGACAGAAGTAAGGCGCCAAAGTAACAATACATAGCTGGCGGGAGAGATTCACCATCATCATCATCATCAGACAGACAGACAGACAGACAGACAGACAGACAGACAGACAGACAGACAGACAGACTATCCTTGATTGAAGTAGGGGAAGTAACATTTTCATCTTAAGATTTTGGAAAGCGACAAGATTTACCGAGACCAAAAAAAACCTGGAGATTTCCGTGGGTTTTTTTTTTTTTACACTGTATTAGTGTTTGGCTCCGAATTTTAGCTTTAATAAGAGTTTTATGGCCCTTACAACACAATAAAGTCATACAAGTGTCGAAGATAAGAGGCGTTACAAGAGAGTTACAAACACACTAAAGAAAGAGAGATGAGGGCCATAGACGTTTGAAAGGAAAGAAGGAGCAAACCACACCAGAGCCAAGGAGGACGATAGATGTTTGATTGGAAAAAAGAAGGAGCAAACCACACCAGAGCACCCGCCAACCACCCACTGGCTCCGTCGAGTCCGCAGCGTCCAGACGCGAGGCTCCCCAGTTCGACGCACGGATAAATCCTGCTAGCGCCTCATTGTCACAGACATTCAGACGCATATTCAGTGCATATCGTTGCTGTTATTCAACTTTGTCGTATGTCAAAATTTAGAAAACTGAAAAGTTAAAAGTATGTTGTAGAGTTTGATGAGGCGCTTCGATTGATCATAATTTATTCATTCCTCTTCTTAAAATAACAACTGGTTTAGAAGAATCCAACAATCTGCAATAGCATAATGGTGTGCACGAAATAAAACACCTTTTTCGCTTCTCGTGAAAATCTCGTATTTTGACATACGACAGTGGTGACTTTCTGTCTATAGTATCATCCTGCGATAATTGTATGCAGCAAACGCCATAACTGGCTTAGCGGGATCATAGTGTTACATTTCAGCGTGAACACTGAGCTTCGTGGTGAGAATATAAGGCTCTCGGAATGTGTTTGTGGCCATTAATAATTTATGTTTAAGTGGGTACGTGAAGTCATCCTTTTGATGTACGTACGGTCGATGTTGTGTGAGACAGCCACCCGTTGTCGAGGGGAGAAAAGTGGCCGTCTTAGACAGTGCCATTGTGATTTTTTTTAAACTGCAAGAGGGAAGTGAGAAGTGGCCAGTTTTTAGTTTTTTTTTAAATTAGATTTTACGGCGCATAAGGTCATATGAGCGCTAAGGGCTGGATGTCAACAGAGAGGTCCAAACGGGGAATCACGCTTACTCTGCTCACCTCTTTTACAACAACAGCTCAAAGTCTGCTTCGACTAGTTAGTTTTAGTAAGCTTTTACGGTGCTCGCAACTGCATAAGGTCACGTGAGCGCCAAGGTGTGGAGGTCAACAGAGAAGTTCAAACGGGGAATCAGGCTTACTCTGCTCACCTCTGTAGCCTCAACAGCACAAAGTCTGCTTCGACTAACAAGGCACCCCTGAAATAACGGGTCAAAAGAGAGTGACACACATACAAAAGAAGTAAAGGGAAATGACGACAGTAAGGATGAGGAAAGAAGCGGCCAATCATACTGGATTGTTTTAGTTTTTGGCTATATATACAGCAGGTGGTTGTTAGAGCAGGTTCGACAATATATACAGGGTGATCCCCAAAAAAATCTGTGCAGCCTTTTTCGTAAATATTTTCCTCCACACTTAAGCTTTCGTCTTCAAATTTGAACACAATATTCCTATTTCAAAAGGAATTTGACTGATATTCATTTTAGATGATTCCACAAAATAATTCTGCAGTAAAATGCGCATAAAAAACAACCCATTTTTTGCTTCTGTTCTCTTTTATTACACTACGCTCCAGTACGCATTACCACTAAATGTCGTAATAAATTCTGGACGGATCTGGGGAGACACCGGCACTTGGATCGCCAAGACCAGTGGTTCATGCAAGATGGGGACAATCCACACGTTTCTGTCAGATCAATGACATGGCTTGCTGAGCACTTTGGAGATCATGTGATCAGTCGCAGAAGTGAGCACATTTGGGCTCCGCATTCTCCTGACCTGAACCCTTTAGACTTTTTCTTGTGGGGTTATCTGAAGGACAGGATATTTCAAAACCAGTTTGAAAACATTGAAATTATGAAACAAGCAATCCGTGATGAAGTGAGAAACATTCCGCGGGAACTGTGTTTAGCCGTCATCGAGCATTTCGAACGACGCGTTAAAAGATGTTTGGAGTCCAAAGGAGGACATGTGGAGCATTTGTTTAAGAAATTCCAGAACAAAATGTTAGTTCTTTAACTCCATAAGAGAAGTTAAATATTGTTTAATGTCACAAGGTTGGAACAATTAAATGTTATAGAGAAAAATAAAGACAAAAATCAAATTAATCGTGTCATGACTTTCCTTGCGAGAGTGTCTTTTAAAAAAAATAATTGGCGCATTTTGCGTTTTTGGTTGGGTTTTTTTTTTCTTTATGCTTTTTCCGTTTTGAAAAAAAAAATTATCTTTGAATTTTATGTCAAACACATTCCTTTTGAATGAAGTTTATCTGTTCCGAATTTCATCTTTCTAGAACAACATTTGCGTGAGATATTTAGAAAAAAAGTAGTAAAGTTTTTTTGGGATCACCCTGTGGTCGCTTTTAAAAGACAAGCGTGCTAATCCAGATTTCACGGTTTTCCAGAAATTTGACCTACACCAAAAGTGGGCATTGAACTACCGTAAAAGAGAAGTTTGGTTTCATTGGTGAGTATATATTTGTTTGGTTATAGGGAAAACTCTCCTTGTACTTTAAAGAAACTTAATAAGGATCCAAAAACTTAATCTTCGATTTTCTCAAAACAACATTTCTCTGGATAGCTCCCTTGTGCTTAAAAGCGACCATATATTATATATTATAATATGTACCGTTGAAACTGCCCAAGGCGGACATCCATTGTCGAGGAGAAAAGTGGCAGGTGGCTGTTGTACACAGTGTCCTTTTAACGTAAAAAATATACAATGTGGTATGGGCGCTTGCACAGGTGATTTTTCTTATACGGGAAACCTTTAGGGAAGTTTCGACTGTATAAATAAATACACATACATACAGTATACAAAATGGACAATGACAAAAGTAAAACAGCAAAACAAACCAATTTAAAAAAAACACACACACACAAAAAGAGGTCAGGACATTTTCCAAAATCAAAGTTTATTTAACACAAACTAAAAACCACATTGAGGTCATATTTTTGTCCACACAACCAACGATTAGCAAACCATTCTCTCTCTCTCTCTCTCTCTCTCTCTCTCTCTCTCTCTCTCTCTCTCTCACACACACACACACACACACATACACATACAAACAAATGTACACATTTAATCTATTCGATACACACACAGTTCCACATTCACACACTCACACTCACACACACACACACACACACACACACACACACACAGTTACATATTTAACCTATTCGATACACACATACACACATACACTCACACACACATAAACACACACACACACTAGGGTGGGCGGCTGGCGGGTGAGGAGGGTCACTGTGGCACGTAGTTCTTGCGAGGTATCCCCCACATACCCCGGCCTCTGCCTCTGGGAGCTGGGCCCTGGGGAGAGAGAGAGAGAACGATAAATGGATGAGTGAA